AGCAGCAGAGAGGAAACCCATGGTCCTGAGGCAGCTGGGTTCAACAGCTCCTTCCTGGTGTGGTGGTCAGAAAGCTGACCCCTGTATCATGGGAGCAAATCTACCGTCCTACAAGCAAGTAGGAGGTTGGAGAGGTAGATGGTTTCCCAGGAGTGGATGTTCCTGTATTATCCAGTCTGTCCCATCCCTTCAGGTGGCTGGATGAAGATGGAGCGCTCCTTCTACCTGAAGAAAAGGCGTGCAGACTTTGTGGCTGGCTACCTGAAAGGCAGAGTTGTTGTGGCTGGGGGACTAGGTGAGGCACTGGGGGTGGTGGTGACACATGACTCACATATGCTATTGAAGTTATTATTATGGAGGGGAGAGATCCTGGCCCTGGCTGGCGTGAGGGAGCAGGGAGAACAGACCCCGCCAGGGGATGGGGTCCAGATCACAGACGGTGTCCCAGAGCAGACAGGGGATGCTTGTTGGTGCTTCCCTGGTGACCCAGTGCCTCACTTTGTGCTTCCAGGAAACCAGCCGACTGTCCTGGAGTCTGCAGAGGCATTCCACCCTGAGAAGAACAAGTGGGAGAGCCTGCCCCCCATGCCCACCCCACGCTGTGCCTGCTCCAGCATCGTGGTCCGGAACTGCCTTCTGGCTGTGGGTGGGGTGAGCCAGGGCCTGAGCAGTGCTGTGGAGGCTCTGTGCCTCTCTGACTCCTAGCTGGCTTCTGCCCAGCAGTGGACCCTGCCCCTGGCTGCTTCCAGCAGCAGTGCTGGTTGTGCTGGGCAGTGCCTGGGGTGGGTGAGCACCACCTGAGCTGTCTTGGGAGCCTGGGTCTGCTGGTAGCTAAACCCAGCTTGAATCTGGAGCCAGCAGGAGCTGCAGCCAGGGCTGCTGTTCCTCTCCCTCCTGGGTGCTGCTGTTCCAGCCCCACAGAGGGAAGGAGTCCCCTCCAGTCACCTTCAGAGCTCCATGGGGAGCTTGCAGCACTGGTGTGCAGTGTCTCCTGTCAGGAAGGACTCTGGAGAGCAGGGCATGGGTGAGCATCACCTGCTGCCATCCTCACCCACTACCAAAGGTTTGGAGGTGTAGGAGTATCCAGACAGGTCAGTGGTGGTTCAGGGAGAACTGATGTGCTGTTGCCTTCTTTGAGCACCCTGGGATATATGTGTGCTTCCCTGCACAGATCCCCTTGGCTTGCCAGAAGGGAATGTCCCAACCTGCAACCAGATCCAGGGGATTGTTCTCTTGCCTTCATAGCAAGGCTTTTCCTGCAGACCTGTAGCATTTGACTGTCATGTTGCCAGGAGCTGGAGTTGAGGGGCTGCCAGTGCCCTGAGGGGGATGAATGCCCAAGGGACTTGTTTTGCCTTGGGGGAAGACCTTTTGGCACAGGACTAGCACTGATACTACCTTTGGGTTTTATGCAGAGATGGTCCTCGACCTGCAATGGTCCAGCCTGGTTTTTAGCCCCTGTAATGATTCCAGATCTTCTGTTCAGCTCTGGGAGAAAGGAACAAAACTGAGGGTTGTGTCTGGTTCTGGAGCTCTCCCCCCAGGGCTGGGCAGTGTGTTTGGTGATGGCTTTGCTGGCAGTGAAGCCAGAAGACCCCGGCCACAGCTGGGGCAGTTTTTGAGGGGCTGTCTGGACCGTCGGGTTACAATTGTAGCTTGTAGCAGCC